CCTGGTTCCTGGGAGAACGTCGCCTGCTTCTCCCATAACAACTGCTGCGCCCGTACCCTTTCTGTGGGGTTCAACCGGTCCCCTAGCTGTACAAGGGTAGTAAGGTCAGTCTGGGAATCCCTTTCTAATAGATCTGGAAGGGGTAAGTTCTCAGAATCATCTGCAGCTGGGGCACATACTGCTGCAATATTCTCAGGTCTCTCCTGGTACTTTTTCAGCATGTTCACATGAAAGGACCGCTGGATCCTCTCATCTGCACAGCTGGCTATCAAGTAAGTAGTGTCGCAGATCTGCGCCACTACCTTGTACGGGCCCTGCCAAGATGCTTGCATCTTGTTGGCCTTCACAGGTTTAAGCACCAATACCTTTTGCCCAACCTGGAAGACACGCTGTCGGGCACCCTGATCGTACCATCTCTTCTGTCTCCCCTGGGCCGCCTGGAGATTCTCCCTTACCATCAGGGACAGTTTCTCCATGCGGTCCCGGAGTTCCAGAACATATGGTACTATGGGGGTCCCTTCCTGCTCCGGCTCCCCCTCCCAGTGGCCTCTAATGAGATCTAGGGGTCCGCGGACCCTTCTCCCATACAGCAGCTCAAAGGGGGAGAACCCAGTAGATTCCTGGGGCACCTCTCTATAAGAAAATAATGGATGAGGCAGGAATCTCTCCCAGTCTCTGCAAGTGTCTGTAAAGGTCCTCAGCATCTGTTTGAGGGTACCGTTAAAGCGCTCGCAGAGACCGTTAGTCCGTGGGTGGTAGGGTGAGCTAAGTAACGGCTTAATGCCGCACACCTTCCACAGTTGCTGGGTGAGCACAGCGGTGAATTGGGTTCCCTGGTCGGAGAGGATCTCCTTAGGGAACCCGACCCTAGTAAAAATTCTAACCAGGGCATCAGCAACCGTCTCTGCTTCTATGTTAGACAGCGCTACTGCCTCTGGATAGCGGGTGGCATAGTCCACCACGGTAAGAACATACTTCTTACCGGATGGACTAGCCCTGGCCAGTGGACCCACAATGTCAACGGCTATGTGGGCAAAGGGCTCCCCTATAATAGGCATCGATAATAGCCTAGCCTTAGGGTGGTCCCCCCGCTTTCCTACCCGTTGACATGTGTCACACGTGCTGCAGTACATCCGCACAGCCTGGTTAAAGTTTGGCCAAAAGAAGTTCTGTGAAATCCTATAGGCTGTGCGGCGGGACCCTAGATGTCCAGCTAACGGAACATCATGCCCTATCCGCAGAATCTCCTGCCGGTACTTTGCAGGTACCACTAACTGGCGATTCGGCGGAGAGGCAACACTCTTCTGGGAAGGTTTAGGGATCCTATATAACCTGTCCCCCACCCACTCATACCGTCCCCCATCTATTCCTTCCTCCCCAGCCTCTGCCCTGTCCTTGTATCTTTGGAGGGTCGGATCCGCCCGGGTTTCCCTCCCAAACTCCTCTGGGGAATCCCAGCTTAAGGGGACCTGATCTGGGGTATCAGTCGGGGAAGGAGATCTTACCTGGGTCTCGTCAGCAAGCGGGCTGGTTCCGGCAGCACGGGTCTGGGCACGGGTGGTCACTGGGTTCACGTCTGCAGGGCCCATCGGAGCATAGGCTGAAACCAAAGGGGCCAAATCGTTTCCCAAAAGAACATCTGCGGGCAAGTCCTTCATCACCCCCACATCCACATGCCTAGCGCCCACTCCCCAATCCAAATGTACTCGGGCAACAGGTAAGCGAAACACGGCACCCCCTGCTACCCTTACTGCCACAGTGTCTCCAGTGTGTTGATGCTCTGAGACCAAGTTCTTTTGGAGCAGTGTCATCGTGGCTCCTGTGTCTCTCAGCCCATTCACCACTCTGCCATTTAGCTTCACAGTTTGCCGATGTTGCTGGCGATTATCCTGGTGAGCTGCTTGCACTGGGTCTGCCTCGTGCAGAATGCCCCAAAATTCCTCCTGCTCTAGGCAGTGAGCAGCAGGCTGAGGTGGGCGCTGGTTTCCGTTAACTGGTCTCCTCCAGGACTGAGCCTGGTTGGCACTGTTCAGGGGGCACTCAGGACGCTTGTGCCCCAACTGCTTGCACCCATAGCACCGGATGGGTTGGGAGTACTCCCGGGCATTAAATCGGGCTGGTTGCATATAATTGTTAGCTGGTGGTGCAGCTGGGGTACGGTGTACCGGGGGTTGGTAGACTGCAGGAGCGGGTGTTACTGCTGGTCGATATTCCAGTCTGGCAGGGGCTTTAGCAGCTGTACCATCCAACTTGCGGGCATCCGTGTATTCGTCTGCCAGACGGGCAGCCTCGGGTAGGGTAGAGGGTTTTCTGTCTCTGACCCATTCCCGGACCCCAGCAGGTAGTCTATCAAAAGCAGTGCTCCAGCAGGAACACTTGTAACACCTCCTCCCCAGTTACCGCTTGGCATCCAGCCATCCAGTGGGCTGCGGTACGATGGACTCTGCAGGCCCATTCCACATAAGAGTCCCCAACCAGCTTGTTGGTTTCTCTAAACCTCCGCCTGTACGCCTCTGGAGGAGCGCCTCTTTCACAGCCCGATAGCTGGTGATCTCCTCCTCTGGGATGGCCCGAAAAGCTTCACTAGCCCGGCCAGATAATTTCCCAGAGAGGATGGTGACCCATTCATCTGCAGGTACCTGATGTAGCGCACACTGCCTCTCAAAGTCTGCCAAAAATCCATCAATCTCTCCCTCTGTTTCCACAAAATTTTTAAACGCAGCAAAAGGTACCTTTTTTTTAGCAACCACATTATTGTCATACGGTACCTCTGCTGCTGCAGCTCCTCTTTCCCGGGCTGCCTGTTGTGTTGCAACTGCTGCCTGCACACGAACCACGATGTCAGCTGAGGGGTTGGGGCCAAAATGTGCCAGCCTTATTTGTACTGCCCGGTTGAATCGTATTTCCTCGGGTGTTAAATCCAAGGTACTGGGCACGTTGACTCTTTCCATTCCCGTTGCTGCATCCATCTCCATTAGCAAAGCAATAATCTCCCGCTTCTTTAAATTGCTTGCTGACCTTCCTCGGCGTTCCAATATGTCCTTAAGTGTAGCACGCCTTAATTCCTCGTACTGCATGTCTCGTAGCTGACCTCCAATGCTGTAGGATTCATCCCACCGCTGCCACCAATTGTTAAGACACCTCCCGTGTCTTTAAGCCAAACCGCCGTTTAGTAAACCTTCCCCGGCTGCAGTACAGTCTCTGTTCGCTTACTCTGCAACCCACGAACCAAATGCAGGGGAAGCGGCAATCTCCCGATCGAAATCCACGAACGGCTCCAAACTCCCGAACGGCAATATACGAACTGCTAGGAACCGCCGAACAATAATATCCCCAAAGCGGCTTTCGTTCCATCCAGCAGTCTCTAAACGTGAAGAAGAAATCCCCCCAATAACGAGACAGAAGCTCCGCATTGAGGGTCAAATAAGATCTGGTTTTACTGTGGGCTACCTGCCTGTATTTATGCAGGTCTCCCACCTGGTGGACACTCCCCTAGGGGACCAAATGGAAGACTTAAATTACAGACAGATAGAAGGACATTTCTGACACACAGTCACATATTTTACCCACAGTGCATTCTGATTCCCTCCCCTCTGTCCTGGAGTTAATTACCAAGTAACTCAATTAACTCCAGGACAAGGACAGTCGCCATCTTAAACATGAAATAATAAAAGACACAAAATGCATAACTACATGAAAACTGAACATTTCCCATTCGTATTACATGTCCCCAGATAGCCTGGATCTGAGTGCATATTATTGGCGAATAGCGCTCAGATCCCACACACACAGTTCAATCGCCATGGAGTCAAAGTTCTTACAGTCCTTCGGTACACGAATGACTCCATGGGTGGGCTATCTGGGTTAAGTCTTTTGTATGTTCTCAATCTCCCGAACGGCCGATGTTCGCATGCTTTTCGCAGCCAGGCGTTCCCTTGTTTCAGCGGTGTTCGACAGAAAAAGTGTCCGTTTTCCGTTCCATAGAAATAGAGCCAAACACCGCTGAGCGTTCGCATGATTTAAAATGGCCGCTGCCTCGTGGTCGACATACGAACGACGACCACCCTGAGTTCGGTTTAATTGAGAAGTGTCTGCGGTTAACCACAACGTTATAATGGTGATCACTCCGTCGTTAACCTGCAGCACACTCCTCACTTGGGTGGCCGTTCGTTCGGCGGTTTTGTTCGGGAAAAAGAGTCATTCGAATGGCTGGGCTATAGAAACCAGCCATTCATACGAACGGGGACAAACAGACGAACGGGCAAAAATCCAGCAGACAGATGGTTCTGTCACAGTCTCTCTTTACTAGAACTCCACAGCAGCACATTAACATATAGAGAAATAACCAATCAGAAAAAATAGGGAAACCATAAAAGGCCCCTCCCAACCAACTACTGCCTCTTTCTTTGCTGCTCCACATCAAGCACAGGTCAGAGTACCACTGTCTCCTGTTCCATATCGGTGGCTGTGGGACACTTTATATATTATTTGATTACTGTATTGTATATTGTAATTTTGAGGTAGTATGGGGGTTTGGTTTTGATTTATTTTCTTGTGCTTTGGGCTGGTTTGGCTTATACTTTTATTCTGGGCTTGGGGAATCTGTTTCTTGCCTCCCCTCTGCCTCTCCCCAGCCTTACATTTCTCCCCCCTTTCTATTTTCTGCATCGCTCGCGGTCCCCGGGGAGCGCCTCTGTGTACCCCCTCCCGTTGTCTGACCGCCGGGGCCACGGAATACGTCTCTGGCGGCCCCACATGTAAGCTCCCGCTTCCCAACGCTGTTCCGCCGAGTGGAAGCTAATTCCGACCTCTCTCTCCCTCCCACCTGCGAGTGTCGGTTTCGCAGCTGCGGGTGGCGTGTGCGGAGAGGAGAGAGTGGGCCGGCCACGTGGGAGCGATGGCTCCCGGCCTCACCTCGTTCCACCTCGTGTTCTTTCTGTAAACACTGAGGTGATGCATTTCTGGCTGCCCACTACATATCCTCTGTGTGGCCTTCTGGGGCTGAGCTGGGCATAAGTTTGCCTGGTCACAGTTCCTTTCTGTGCACTGTAATTGAGTTACACGTTTCTTTAGATTGTGTCTCCTGTTTTTTTTCATACAGCCCATGGGCCTAGCATGTGGGGCCTAGGTTTTTTGTAGGGGGAGGTCCATTTAAGGGATGCACATTCTCCTTTCTATTTGGGCCTTTTCCTTGCCTTTTATTTTTTTTGCCACCATTTGTAGCTTACTGTTGGCATTGATATTTAAGGTATATCTCTCATTCCTGCATGCACTGCTCCTGGACTGACCTCTATAGTCTTTGTAGCTCTGCCTGGCGATTATTTACTCACACTGATTGGCCTGCTTTGCCTGTGCTACATTGATTGACGTGCTCTGTCTGTGCCCCTTGATTGGCCTGCCTTGCCTGCAGGGCCGGTGCAAGGATTTTTGCCGCCCTAGGCATAAGTAAAGTTTGCCGCCCCCCCCCGTGACATCGCAATGCCCCACCCATATGACCTGCCATGTTAACTAACGCTAGTGCTGCAGTGCCGCCGTGTTTACAATAAAAGGCCTGCAGGGACAGGCTATAGACACCAGGACCACTACATTAAGCTGAAGTGGTTCTGGGGACTATAGTGTTTCTTTAATGTGAGGTAAATTAGAGATTAGTGCCACTAATAATATACTAGATTGCCTGCTTACAACCAGATGAGGATGATGATGGGCTCTAGCTGCAGTCTGGCTCCACTGGTCTGGAGTAGAACAGGCTCTCTGGAGGCGGTTTGTAACTGTGGTCACAAAAATCAATGTTCTGGGAGAACGGGAAGCAGCTCCATTTTTTGGGGGCCCTTTACACAGCTCAAGGTCTGGGTCCCAGGGTCCACCTTCATGTTCCACCAATGAGTTTGTTCACAGGGGGTGGAGTGTGTAGGGGATGTCCTGATTTGTGTGTAAGGAATGCATTGTGTGAATCTGTGTTTGTATGTGTAAGGGCTGCAAGGTGTGTTTTGTGTATGTAAGGGATGAAGTGTGTGAGTCTGTAAGGGGTGCTTTGAGTGTGTTTAAGGGGTGCATTGAGTGTGTGTAAGGAATGCATTGTGTGTTTCTGTGTGTGTAAGGGATGCATTGTGTGTAAGGGTTGCATTGCGTGTGTGTGTGTAATGCATTGTGTGTTTTTCTGTGTGCAAGGGGTTCATTGTCTTTGTGTGTGATTGTGTGTGTGTGATGGATGTCAATCTCTCCCCCCTCCCTTGTCACTCTCTTCTCCCCCTCCCTTGTTACTCTCATTCCCCCTCCCCTGTCACTCCCCCTCCCTGTCAATTCCCCTCCCTGTCAATGTCTTCCCCCTCCCTGTTAGTTCCTTTCTCCCCCTCTCCCTCCCTCCCTGTTTCTTTCTCCCCCCTCCCTCCCTGTTTCTTTCTCCCC